ATAGGTTAATGGACAAATCTAACTTCTATTCAATGACGATCGAACTAGTGGTCCTGAAGCCACCTTCAACGGCAGGAAACCTCATAAAGGAAACAGTAAAAACCAATGTCAAAATGGCAAGAGAACCTACCTTAACATGAAGCAACTCCTCCTTCGAAGGCGGTGCCGACGACCGCACTGCTCCCAACGCCACCGAACGCATGAACCACCGTGGGGCAGCACGGGTGAAGTGAAGAGCCGACAGCTTCACCCATGGTCCGTAAGGGAATTCGCTAGAGAGCGCGGGATCAGCACTCGTCTCACAGACGTTTTCGCCGCTACCGCCGCCAGTATCAGCAAGAGGTACACCAAAGGCCGGGGTGACGGGGGTTGAGATGAGACCAGCGGGGTCGCTACCAGCAGCCAGGGCCGCCGCTGCCGCCAGGCTGGGTCCAGGACGGAGAGCTGGAGCTTCGTTCGTGGTATTGGCAGTAGTGGAGCTAATGGAGGCGGAAAGTGGAGGCGGAACTAGAGCAATTGAGAGAGCTTCACTCCGTGTCGTAAGGTAGGCGTGCAACGGATCACGGAAGACTTTGTTTGGGGGAAAGAAGTAGAGACAAATGCAGATAAGCTCCCATCCCCGCATCAGACTATCACTGAAAGAGAGACAGAAGTAGTGCGCCAGATCGTACCCACAAATGGGAAATTATAAGAATAATTTACGGAACCTAATATCAATTCCTTTGGTTACATCTGGCATACATATCTTTCCAACAATTAACGCAGTGCCGAGAAGGACGGTGAGCAAGGGTACTTAACAAGAAAAAAAACTGGATCAAGTTTTAAGTGTTGTATTTGTCAAATTAAGTTTCTTTAAAACTGATAATCTGTCCCCGGTTGCTAGCAGACTAAGTAGCTGAAATCTCCATATAGCGCTTTGTCTTAACGAAACAAAAAATTGCCGCATTGTCATTCCCTTTTGACCGCACATTGCCGTTCTTAGTGAACTTTCGTATTACCATTCAAATAAAGCGCACCTTTTAAACCTGTGGATAAAAAAACAAGCGAATACAGTCATTTAGATTAAGACTTTTCGTCAATTTTCCAAGAACACAAGCTCGCAGACTGATAGCAAACGGTAGTATAGGGGTTATGGAATAAAGAGAAGGTACGTTGTTGATAAGCAGCGATAAAAAGTTCAGAATCGTCTCAGAATTTTA